ACTGCATGCCATGCTCTCATTTACTGCACTAATACTTATGCATTGTTGCCACATTTTGATATTTAAGCCTTATTATATCCTGGCTTAAAAACATCAATAGCCCATATATGGTCATTCCTAATTAGCCCTAATCTGTATCCCCTCTTCTGAAGTCCCCATCTCCTGTGTCTTGAAAGCCAATGCAAAATACTTGATGCTTGCATTGAATGCATTTGCTCAGTACTGAGAAAGAGAATAAACTCTAATAAAATGGAACAGCTTACTTAACAGCAGTGATCTACTTGCCAAAAATATTTTGTCTGAAATATTTTATATTGATACTGCCTATAATTTCAGCAACTTTGAGTTGTATTTGTATTTATAGGGACTTTAAAAAATGAAACTATATCTGTGCTGTTTATTCATATTTTAATGTAAATTAGTTCAAATAGATTGCTTTCCTCCTAATATGTCTTTGAGATTGGTGAATGAGTGCTTAAAGGACTAGAACAATGAATGGAGAAAAATTCTTTTCCTTTCTTTTATTGCATTATCTGCTGCTCCCAGAACACTAACTCAATCTATTAAATTATGGATTATTAAATGGATTATTATGGCCTGAAGAACTCTGGGCAATTTATGGGTTACATCGCTCATTAATTCTAGGGAGACAAATAAGAAAATGGAAAATTATAATATATGCTAAGTGCTATATTAGGGGTAAGAAGCTTTGTAATGCCTTTGTGGGTATATTACCACATTTAAAAAAGAACGTTGTTTCTACATGAAAATAAACTTTTTGTTCCAAATAATACTGTGTCAACAAACCTTACAGCATGACCTGTTGAAATGTGGTCCATCCTTTAAAAAAAAGTATGCATAATTTAATGTTGCTTCTGGGATAATTTAAAAATATTAAAAATGGCTAATTTAAAAATAAACATCATGTATTTAAATAAACATAATCAAACTATTCATACTAATTTTAAGATATAAATATATTGTCTGACCTTCAATTATTGCTAATTATGTTAATTAATCATGATATAACAGAGAAAGGTAGTTGACCTATGGTGAACTATAACTTGCACTTTAAATTTAACAAGCAAATCAAATTTTTCTGAACCAACGAACAGCAGAGAAAATTGGTTTTAGAGAAAAAAATAGAAGTTCATCCTTAAATTACTACCAAGAGTAGAATAGATGGATCATATTTAAACTGGGATAATAAGAGTGCAATTGGCATGAAAGGGTGCACTGACTATGTACTTAAATTCTGTTTTGATAGGAAAATGCTTAGAAATCAACCACTTATTAAATAGGACCATGACTGCATGTGAATTTTTGCTGCTCCTATTAAAAACAGACTTTCTTTCAATTTTCCTAATACATTTAAAATATTCTTAGAAAGAAAGTAATAGACACTGCTCTATAGATGCTTTCAAAGTCAGTTACTAAGAAAATTAAAATAAGTTTAGTAAGAATTATTTACAACTATAAATGTAGAAGGAGCCCTGTGGTGCAGTGGTTAAGACCTTGGCTGTTAACCAAAAGGTTGGCAGTTCAAATCCACCAACCACTCCTTGGAAACACTATGAGGCAGTTCTACCCTGTCCTATAGGGTTGCTCTGAGTTGGAGCCAACCTGATGGCACATAACAACAACAACATAAATGCTGAAGGCTTGAGAAATTTAGGGAGGCGATGTCATTTAGAATGTGGAATGTATAGTCTAAAAAAACTAGACTAACGGTTAATTAGATTCCACACGGAGAAGTGAGTGAAGCAAAACGAGCTTCATTAGAATTTCAGGAACATAGCTCAGAAGTATAGCACATGCTTCGTATGTCTGAGACTTTGGACTTAATCTTGTTTCAAATTTGAAAAACCTGATTAGCTACAATTAATACTTTCAATGATATAGTGGCAGATTTACTTAACCTATCTTAGTTCCCTTATCTGTTAAATGATTTTTTTCAAGTATTAGATCTAATATATTAAAGCACATAGCTCAACAGCTGGCTGTATAATTGTTAGCTGTTACTAAAATAACGAAGTAAACAATGGAAATATAAGCTAGATTTCCATCATTAGAAACAGAAAGTTGCTGTTCAAATTTTTAATCTGAGGAACTGTTAGTATGGAAATTACTGACTAAAGAGGAATCGTTTAATTTTCCCTTTGACCTATAAGAGAGGAAGGTCAACCTAGGGAGGATACGGTGATAAACAACTCAGCAGAGATAATTTGCAGTGGGACAAAGTAAGGTTGTACTTTGCCTTCTTTAAAAAATGTGTAACTTAATGACTTGATTGCAGTTTTGGGTAAGCTGGATGCATAACCCCAGCAACAGAGCACAGAATAAGTGTTCGATATTCAATAGCTATTCTCAAAAAAGGAGTCACTATTTTGGATGACATCATCCACTATTGGCCCTAATATAGCAAGTCAAGTCATTCAGTTACTTAGGAATACATCTTACAAGCAGTTCACTTCAGCGCAGTGGTTCTCAAACATTAGTCTACATCAGAATCACCTGATGGGCTTGTTAAAACACAGACTGCCAGGCCCCACCCCTAGAATTTTTGATTCAGTAGGTCTGGAGGGACCCCAACGCATTGCGTTCTAAAAGTTACGAGGTAATACTCGTGCTGTCCTGAGAACCACGCTTTCAAAATCACTGCCTTAGGGAATACTTAGGAAATTATATTGCTTAGTATTAGCCTTTTACGAAGACTTAAAATATTTCCAATCTGAAATGATTTATGTCAGTGCTATAAAACTTTGAAGCTTTAAGCATTCATTTATCATGAATTGGAGTACATCCAAAACTTGCTTTTTAAAAAAATGGTTAGATTTGCCTATAGTATTCCTTTTGTCAATCCCCTGTAATAAATTTATATCAGGTATCTCTAACAGGACTCTTTGGTATTGCTTATAAGGAACTGATTTGTTTTTATTGTGTCAGCATTGTAAATCACATGACTGATCAAGTTTCCTCTTCTGCCTTTGTTGCTTGCTAGGAAGCTCAGGGTCAAAATACATGCCTCAACTATATCAGGCGTATAAGATCTCATACTATGCATTTTCTGTTCATAAACTTGTTTATTTCTGGTGTTATCCTGTTTTGTTCTGACCTTATTTTCCCTTGATACTCATTTCTTTTTTGATAAAATTACGAGAATATTACATGTATTTTGATAAATCATCTACATTCTTTCCAGAAGCACAGTGGGATATAAACAAACAAACAAATAAACAAACACACAAATAAATTTGTGCTGTCTAACAACATGTTTTACAGAAATTTTAATAACTTATTTAATTAGGACTTCATGCCTTGGTTTTTGGATTATATAAAATGAATAGATGAGAGAATAGAGCATTACAGATGCCAAAAAAGGTCAGGTGTATCTATTTAGCATTAGGAAGAAATACCAAAAAAAACATGTGGGAAGGCATAAATATCATTTCTGAAGACGAATCCTCTGTAATTTTCCCTTTGACCCATGAAAGACGAAGGTCAATTTAGGGAGGATAAGGTGATAGACAACTCAACAAAGATAATCTGCAGTGGGACAAAATAAAGTTGTGTTTTGCTCAAAAGGTTATGTGTGTACCTGAAATATTATTCTCTATGAATTTCACTGTACCTTTTTGAAACTATTCATATTTTCATTTTAGAGAAAAAATTCTTGAAATTTAGAACCTGCTGAGTAAAACCAAGGCTATTTCTGTTTGACTTAAAATTACCTCTCTGGCTTTAGGTCTGTTCTATTTCCAATACACCAGAAATCTCTGATGAGCAATCCTGTACTCACCTTCTCAGTATTCATGTAAATTTGGGGAAGAGATTGGTGGTTTGGGAGCAGATGTTGATGTAAGCATTTCTGCTTACCCTGGGTTATATTAGCAGAGTCACTAGAAACTGCTGCCACCTACTACATATGCAATTCCAACATACTCAATTATGCTTTACTTAATAAATCTTGACGTTACCAAGGAATGGCACGTGATGGAGAGAAACTGAAGGCCAAGTAGGTAAGGATAAAATAGACTTAAGTATACAAACATCCAACGAGCCCTGGTGGCGTAGTCGTTAAAGCAATCGACTGCTAACCGAAAGGTTGGTGGTTTGAAACCACCAGTGGCTTCGTGGGAGAAATATGTGGCAGTCTGCTTTTGTAGGGATTTACAGCCTTGGAAACCCCATGGGGTCACTATGAGTCAGAATCGACTTGATGGCAGTGGGTTTGGCTTGTTTTTTTTTGGGGGGGGGCGGTATATAAAAACACAAACTGCAAACCACAAATACCAGATGCCTGCAATAATTAAATTACTAAATTGTAGAGCATATAATAGCTAAATGTTCTAAGTTTCGCTATTCTCATTTTTAAAATTAAACCTTAAATAGGTGCATCGGAGTAAAGTGTTTTTATAACTTTGGCCATGAATTAGATCATGAACCTAAAAATGTTTGGAAAATAAAGGCAATGAAGGGCAAGAGCAATTAAATAATACTTTTTCCTCCCTTGGCAAACCTCATACCTCAACTTACTCCTAAAAAATAGTTCAAAAAGTCTCATTAAAAACCTTTTCAACTCCTAACAACACCTCATGAGTATGTATTTTGTTTTAATAAATCAGTCACAAGCCAGATTCAATTAAAATAGTGTAACAAAATCTAAATGTAAGAAAATTGCAAATCATGGAAGTTCTCCCTAAACCTTTTTAAGGGTGTTTGTTTTTTTTCTTCAGATGATTTGTTCTTCAGCTCATTTATAACTTTCATATATTTAATCATCTATATTATATAATAATGTGTGTTTTTTTTATTAAGGCAAATTTTCTCCTGAAGGGTTAGTATGTAAACACATTATAAATTTTAGCAGTTAATATCATGGGGCCATTATCATTATACGTTCATGTGTGACTAATCTGCATTTAGCAGTTTAAGAGAATAGAACGACTTCATATGATTAAGTGATTGTTTTACAACTTTTAAAAAGAAAAACATCTTGCCTTCAAATGGTAATCTTGTTCCAGTCTGGGATCTGATCCGGCTACCTGTTTGTATTTGTTAATTTTCATCTGGCGATTTCTCTCCTCTATATCCATAGCACCTATCGAGTAGAAAAAAATCCATAAAATTAATGTTCAGTTCTTATTTCTGAGCCCTACTTACAGGATGTATAAAAAAAGAAATACTAGGCTGATATTTACTTTCACTCCAAGAAGTATGTACAAATTAAATGTCTTATTTTTCTAGATTTACTTAAAATATGCAACTTGGTGAATAAAAGCATGATTATTCAATATGTAAAATAATTTTAAACTGAATAGAAATGTAAACAAATTTCAAGGGAAGACAATAAATCTTCAATAGATAGGAAACACTTTCTGGTATGTTTATGTCCTGGAGAATATGATATATCTGACAGTACATAAATTTGACAACAATAATATTGTATTATAAGAACTTTGGCTTTTAATTCATCTAAGTGTGATTTGATTGCTGGAAATAAAGTTATAAGTGTAACTGGTTTCAAATACAATTTTAGAACAGCATTTGGAAAAGATTATCATAAATGTAGTCCTTGCATTAATGCGGGTTGCCCCAGCATATATGCGGATGCAGTTATCAGGCACTTTCGAACTTGAATTTTCTAGAACTAGTATCAAGAGAGAGGTGCTTGGAATAATACTCCCGAAAAAATACCATCTCAGTAAAGTCACAAAGTACTACTGAAGCCAAGTCAGAAAATATACCAAGAAAATCAGAATGCAGGAAGCTGAGAAAGTTTGCAACTAGGGTTGCATAACAATATGTGTATAAATTTTGTGTGAGAAATTAACTTGAGCTATAAACTTTCACCTAAAGGACGATTAAAAAAAAAAAAAAAAAGAAGCTGAGAAAGTGAAATGGTAAGCCTATTTAAAAAAAAAAAAAAAGATTAATGCCCTCTGTAACATGTGCTACCTCAAAATGCATCAATTATAGATATCAAGAGTGCCTTTAAAAACTTAGGTTAGAACAAGAACTAAATTCAGTTAGCAAGTCTTAGCAAGTATGAAAAAGCGATTTCAAAGAATATTTATGATTTTTATTAAAGAGATTTTTATAGGAAAATTCCATTTCCCATAAATAGGTAGAATGGAAAAAAAAATCTCAATTGTATACTAAAAATCTACAAATTGGGAAAAATAATCCTAGCTTAGTAGGATCAAGTGCGTATCTATAATAACACGCTGTCATGTAAATTCACAAGAACTGTGTGTGTAGGCAGGAATGTAAACATATACATATATACCCCTTGCTTAAGATCATAACTTTAAAAGTACAGTAAAGATATCTGGAAAAAAGTGTGCCTATTCAAAAATAGGTATTTTAATACTCACCTGATTTTAAAATGGCATAAAGGAAAAGAGTGAAAAATGGACCAGTATAATCAAAGGTTATAGTATTCTCTCCAGTTTTAATGCTTAATTATTACTCTCTGCTCTGCAAAAGTCTCATTGCATAATAGATCATTTTTGTCAGTAGCAAATTTTAAATAAAAATCAGTTAATTAAGATAAATGAAAACGGAAAGAAAGTTTCAAAAAGGACTAAGAAAATCTTAAAAGAACATTTAAAAAGCTTACATTATAGGACGTCTAAATATACCAGCAAACTTAAATCAACTATTGAATAAAGTGAGGTAATTTGTTCCTTTTAATGGTGAAATTTTAATAACGAGTTGATTAATTGTGCCAAATTTGAACATAGGTAATATAAACATCATGTTGATATAAAAACAGGTGAGTGCCTCTACGATACAAATATGAAATGTAGTCAACTATAAATGTCTAATAGTCTATTAAAATACAATTTTGGAATGTTTGTACCTCCACTGAATAGCACCAATAAAAGAAGTTTAAACACATAAGATAAATACATAGATAGATAGAGACAGAGATATAGGTATAGATACAGATACATACACACATATTTATATATACATTTTCTAATATTTAGACTATTTTCTAGATATCAACCTCCTATGGAACCTACATTAAATTATTTTTGATTACTAGGTAGTAATGTGATACACTGGCAGGGATTGGCAAGTGTTTTCTTTTTCTGTGAAGGGCCAGATAGTAAACGTCTTAGGCTTTACGGACTATGCAGTCTCTGTTGCAACTCTGTCATTGTAGCATGAAAGTAGCCATAGACAATGCATACACAAATCAATGTCGCTGTGTTTCAATAAAACTTTATTTATAACACGGGCAGTGGGCTGGATTTGGCCTGTGGGCCATAGTTTTCTGACTACTGATTTAATATTGCTTGTAAAAGAGCTTTTCTCCTTAGAAAGCATTTAAAACTTAGGTAGAATCAAGTTCATGTAACATCATTTATACTTAACAGGCCACTGGAAGGTCTAAGGGGAAAAATCTATATTTGCTGTCTAAGCAAACAAAGCTACAAAGAGTGATACCATTTAAATATGTTACCAATTAAATTACAATATCAAACATATCTTTCATCTCCAGACCCAGTCATCATTTATAAATGGTCCTTAAACAGAAAAGTTCTTGGTTACAGCATTAACCAATGGATTCTCAAGATACTACCTCAGTGAACAAAGCCAATAAATTAGGGTAAGTACAGCATTAACTACCGTTGGAGGAAAGTTTTCCTAGGAAGCTAATCCTTGGAATAAACAGTAGGCAGACAAGTCTCCCTCAAAAATTATTTGGCCCATATAAAGACTTCCATTCCTTTTCTCCATTTTTATCAACCTATTCCCATAAAGAAAAGACTCCACTAACAATAATATCCTTAGAGAGGAAAGTCTCTTATTGATAAAGAGATCCATCATAGGAGATTCTTCACCAGCAAGTTAATATTTCTTTGTTGGTTCTTTACTCTAATAAAAACAATCCAGAAATAAAAGAAATGATATTTTCAATGACAAATTTTGGTTTCAAGCAAACAATCTTTTTTTTTTCTTTCTTTCTTGGAATGAAAAACAATTTAGAGAAATCAATGCAAAGCAGAAGAGCTTTTCACTGGTTGAGGAATGGACTACATAGTTTCTAAGTTTTCTTTCAACTTCAATGTCCTTTGCTGTATGCTTATATTAAAGGAAAATAAATGAAAATGATAAAGAGACAGGTTTTTGTTCACTCTCCTCTCTCTTTCTCTCAGATTCACAGCACAAATTTGCATATAAAAGGCCCTGAAATCCTGCAAAAAAGAACAATCTTTTGACAACTGAAGGCTCACCTTTTTTCCCCTACCTATTATCTATTAATATATTGTTAAAATAGTCTCAGAAAACACATTTTGGAAAATGCTGTTTTACAGTTTTAGGAGGTAAATTTATCTAGAAATCTCTAAAATTCATATCCTTATATGTGATAACACTGCTTATTACAGAAGACATCTTAGTGGTTTGATTTTGTAATTTGAGTATGCTGAAGAAATTACAGTCATGATATGTTCAAAATCAAATCAAATATCAAAGTATTTTCAAAGTGCAATAAATTTTGACTGAAAGGTCAATGAGACTATCAGATTTCCTGGATGAACACATTAACAACAAAAGTTTGCACATGTTTGTGTCTATTCATTGAAATGATAATCTTTTAATGTATTCAACTGTAAAATTCAGGTTTCCTCAAATTCTTTTTGGTATAAGGTAAATTATTAACTAAGTAAATTAAGAAAAAAATGTGATTTCTTGTTTCATCATAAATATCGGGTTTGATTTAAATTATGCTGGAAATGGCCCTGTACTCAAGTCCTCCTGGATTCCATCAATTTTAGCATTTCTAGTTAATAAATGACATTTTCATCAAAGCTTCTCTCGTTCACTTTCCTACTAATGCATTTAAAATTATACAAGGCCTTTTTTCATTCTAAAATTTTCAAGGCAGAGAATAAAAAGTCAAATGTGGATATGCCAGAATTCATAAACATCTCAAATGGTTTGTTTTTCTCAATTTGAAAGCTCTTGGTCCATTCTTGGTCATTGCATTAAAAAATTCAATATTTTGTGGATCCTGATTTAATGTGTTTCCTAAAATCTTACCACATATTCCATAAACTATTTATTTTGATACAAGCCACTTATAAGATTTTCTCATCCGTAAATCAATAAACTAATTTTCTGGTTATTTTGAACTTAAAAAGGCTGCTTAACGTGTCTAACAAGTTAAAGTCATATTTACAATGTTGCTATGGCATGCAAGTTAAAAAAAAAAAGTTAAGTTACAGGTGGCTATTTTCATCCAAAGATGTAGGTGGAAATCACCCAATTAGCTGGCAGCAAGCCAGTATTTTCTTAGGTGGTACTATGCTGTACTGAGAACTACAAAGAATATCAGTACACCTTCACTGCAGGGCACTTCAAACAGTAATAGCTGTAAGTTTGCTCTTCCTAACAGACACACACACACACACACACACACACACACACACACACAGCAGCTCCTGGCTACCCATTAACCTACACTTTTTGGAAGCAGTAATACAAGTTTGGCAGTGAGGCAATTCCAAAAGGAAGCAGAACAGTGATCAGAAGGGAAGGACTGCTGACTCGGTGATCCATCTTCAGATCTGAAAATGCTCAAATCTGGGAATCTTAAGAGGGAAAACTCTTAAGCCCAATATCTAAGATCAAAAAAAGAACCCTTAAACTCAGAAAAAAAATTAGAAAACTTGCAATTATAGACATAATGGAACTCTAAGATTGTAAGTCTTATTTAAATCCAGAAACTGCATCGGTTGGTATCCCAAATTCTTGTGGCTAATTTAGTGATTTTAAAAAGTTTCCCTCTCTTTCTTCTGTGTCTATAAAAATATTTCAAAACAGTAAAAACCAGCTGCTGTAGAGTTGATTGCAACTCATGGAGACACCATGTTGTCAGAGTAGAACTATGCTCTGTAGGGTTTTCAATATTTGATTTTTCAGTAGACTGCCACACCTTTCTTTCAGGGCATCTCTGGGTGTACCTGAAGCACCAATCTTCATGATTAGTAGCCTAGCACTTAACAATTAGTGCCACCCAGGGGACTCCATATAACTATTAAGCCTGGGGTAAAAAAAGTCTTTAATTGAGATAAAAAATTTCAC